ATAATTTAAAATTTTGATTATTTTATAATATTATAATTAATGAATTTTTTATTAAAATAAAATAAATTAATATTTATAAACAAAAATTTTAATTTTAATTATTTTAAAATTTTTTATTTTTATATATATTTATTAATAAAAATTGATAGGCAATGCAAGATTTTTATGAGCTACCATATATATCCTTTAAAAATAATATTATTAAATAAATATAAATTATTTTAATTAAAATTTATTTTATAAAACTAAAATATTTATATTAATATTTTCTTTATGTTTTTAAATAAATAAATTCTAAATTATAATAAAAATTTTAATTTTTTTTGTTCTCTACTGTATATAAATTTTTATATAATAAACAATATAGTTTTTAAAAAAAATAATTTAATAAAATTTATCGGACTATTTTATAACTTGTACTCTTGTTATTCTTTGATATTTTATAATGTTTTACAATCTAATATTAGTTATAAAATAATAAATTTTAGGAACTAGTAAATAAATTTAAAAACCAAAAATAATCGACACATAAGTGCTCATTGAAGTCGTTAAAAGTAGTTTGGTGCAACCTTTTGTGACCACTTTTTTTTTTATTTATTTCCAATGGACTTTTCCTTCACTACGATACTTTGGATTTTCTCAACACTGTGTGTGTTGAGATGGACTTTCTCAATAACTCCAACCAATACCAAAATTTTCGTTTCTGTTATTAGTCTCCTTTTTACGTGAAAACACTCATCTACGGTATAGATAAAGCGAATTTCGGTGAATTTGCGAGTACGCCGCATATCACAAATTTGGAAAATATGGCTTGCGAAAATTTGACATATCCGAAACGACTTTAAAGAACACAGAAATTAGAAGATAAAGATGTAATCGAAAATCGAAATCTTACTGCACATAGCACAATATCACTTGGAGATTCATTGTATATGGGTAATTATTTTTGAAGGCGGGCAATTGTGATTCATTATATACACATTATTCAAAAATGGGTGTCGAAAAAATCAATCATATTTAGTATTTTGCTCGCCTTCAAGAATAGTTCAAATTAATCGTACATAACTTTTTAATCCTTATCCCCTTCCTTGGCGGAATGCATCTACAAGTATCTCTAGCCTTAAATTCTTTTCATTATTACTTTTTAACCCACGTTCGCGCAATCATTTTCTTATTTATGAAAAATATTTGGTTAACTTTTTTATTATATGTAGAATTTCTATTAGAACAGGAAATTTTCGCATGAAACTTAATTTTGCAACAAAAAAAGTATACTATTAAGGAAATTTCACTCTTACTTCTTTCTTGGATGCTTACTCCTTGTATTATAGACTTCTAGCTTGCATATATGGGTAATTATTTCTAAAGACGGACAGGAATTTTCGGATCCTATAATTGTGATCCTAAAATTTGCATTATGTACGCATTATTCAAAAATGGGGGCCGGAAAAATCATATTTGGTATTTTGCTCGCTCTCAAGAATAATTGCAAATTAATCGTACAGAACTTTTTAATCCTTATTCGCTTCCCTTGGTGGGATGTATCTACAAGTAGCTCTAGCCTCAAACTCTTCATTTTCTTATTTATGGAAAATATTTGTATTAACTTTTTTATTATATGTAGAATTTCCATTAGAACAGGAAGTTTTCGCATGAAACTTAATTTTGAAACAAAAAAAAAAGCATATTATTAAGGAGATTTCCTTCCTAACTTCTTTCTCGGATGCTTACTCCTTATATTATAGAATTCTAGCTTGCATATATTGGTAATTAATTTCGAAGGCGGACAGGATTCTTTTGACACTTCAAATTTACATTTTATACGTATTGTTTAAAAGTAGGGGTCGAAACAATCATGTCTAGCATTTTTGTTGTATATTACTATTGTTAAACTGTAGACTGTCGTCATGGTATAGTTTATTCTTGCTATTCGTAAATATTTGGATTTCCACGTTTTACGGATGAATGAATTTTTCTTGGCTAAGATGAGGAAAAGTTCATGATGATCTGTAAATTTACAATATTTCGTTGATGGAATGTTGTTATTATTTTCACAACCGGAACCACTTTTACTTTTTAATAAAGTGCAATGTGAATTTCAAAGAGGTATAAAATACATGATAAAAGATCGCATCGAATATACAGTCAGTATGTTTACAATTAAATTTTCACATAATAATGTCAACATCACGCCCCGTTCTGTTTGCGAATCATGAAAAAAATCACTTTACATTCACGCTCGGCAAACTCATTCCAAGAATTCCATGCCCTTATTTTCAAAGAATTCTATGGCTTTAGGATGTTTTTTTATGGCAGCAAGTTTCAGATATTCTAAACCTTTTTTCTCGTCTTGTTCTCTGCCAAGCTTTCCGTTGTAATGTATGTCTCCCATATGATACAAAGCTGTCGCATTTTCTTGCATGGCCGCTTTGGTGAGGTATGACATAACCTCGGGATAATCCCTGGGGTCATTCAATTCCAATAAGCTAAATGCATAACGGAGCTGTGCATCTGCCACGCCATTATCGGCGGCTTCCTTGAAAAGTTCAGTAGCCTCATTAGTATCCTTCTCTACATAGTACCCTTCGTGTTTATAATGCCCTTTCCAGTAGATTGCGAGTGGATCACCGAGGGAAGCGTGTTTTTTCGAAACATCTCCACGCTTTCTCACGATATTTATCGTTTTTCCCTCTGCTTTCCTTGTGAAGTCTAAGACCTTCCTCGAGAGGAATTATGATTTCGATGGACATTGGATCATTGGTAACAAAATTTTCGCGGAAGTAATTTTTCGACGGCCTGCAACTATCTGGGGCTTCAAAGTGGGGTTGCATATAATCATTCCCTAGAGACGTGAGAGGAGACTGAGCCGAGAGTAGACTTTTAAGTTGCGAATATATCTCAATAATTGTCGGCCGGTCGTCAGGATCTTGTTGCCACGCTAAATGAGTGACGTGTTAATAAATATCACTGAAATTCGGTGAATTCACGAGTGTTCGAATAAATATGAACATGAACATACATTTCACGATGATACTCTGAAAGCACGTTAGAATACTAGAGGGAGCGAGGGTACGGTGAAAATTCAGATCTTCTCTCTTGCCATCTTTAATATGACTACAAATCTCCTCCATCTTCATTTTTTCATATGGGAGTTTTTGAAATAAGAGCTCCCATAAAAGCATTCCAAAACTAATTGATAACATGGACGTAAGTTTCGCATTGATACCACACGCAACTCAATGCCGGCTTGAGATTCCTTCTTACCTAAACACTTCGCACGGATATGTATAATTTCTCGGCTTTCCACCTCTGATTAATTTTTCGGGAGCCATCCAACGAACCAACTCTGAAATATCGTTTATCTCAATTGACCCCTGGTTAATCTCTCGACTGAAATTGAAATTTGCGAGTTTTGCCGTTGTATGCACATTATCTTCCCTCGTGATCTGTTTTGTCAAACGCGAAATAATTGATGATTTATCATTTGCATGCGTGCAAATAAAGCAAAATAAAGAAAGAAGGAAAGAAGGAAAGGAAGAGAAAGAATCAAGCAAGCGCACACATACCAAAATGTTTTCGCAACGTACGTCGTGGTGATAGATTCCGCACACTTGTAGAAATCCGAGGCCCTCGGAAATGTTGGTGGCAAATTGAAGTTTCTTTTCCGGAGAGATATATTGAGTTTCATAGTAGTTTCTTAAATTTCCTTCTTCGGCCCATTCGAATATCATATGATGGATTCCGTTAAAAATCGAGAGCCCGTGGAACCTGACAATTTTTGATGAAGCATGTAACTTTCCCAAGATGGCCAAATTGTTTCTAAATTTATTGGCGTATCGTTCGTCTTTTTCGATGTTGACCGGTTTGCATGCCACCTGTATAAATTGGTCTAATACTTTTTTGATTATTTTCCCTCGAGTCATCGTGGTTCTTCCGGACAATCTTGTCGGTTCTATGATGTCTACTTTTAGCTTATGATCAGTGTTCTTCATCTCGGATATTTGTGCGGTAATCAAATTGAGTTTCTCGTCCCATGAATCCATCATCTAAAATTTTAAGGTTAATTAATGATGCCAAAATTTGGGTTGCTTAGAATATTCGGTGGCGATAGATGCATGCTTGCTTTCTTACATTTATCATGTTCTCAAAATCCTCCTTCAAGATTGCTTGTTCCCTTTGTTTTTCTTCTAACGAAATGATTATACCAAACTTTAAGTCGTCACAAGCTGTTTCCAATTTTCTTATGAGATCCTGACATTCTTCCTGAATGTTTTTTGCGAAAAGGACTTTGCGAAAGTTTTTATACTGTGACACATCGCGAACAAACCTTTTTATGATTTTCAAGGTTTGATCAAGACGGATGAAGGCGTGATAATAATCCTGATTGCAGAACAATTTTTCTTCATCTTTACGACGCACCAACTTACGAATTACCATATTAACCGTTTCAACACGATCTACCAGAATACGGCATGTCTTTTTGTTATACTCCACATTATCATAGATTTTTATGATTTCTTCAATTACCGCGAAGATGGAATCGACATATGGTATGAAAGGGGCGAATGTGCTGACAGCATTGTATGTCAGTTGTGCGGCGGCAGCTGTCATATTGTGAGTCGAGGCATCGTCCACATCCATATAAGCATCGACATCGGTAGTAGCATTTGACATGGAGTATGTTTCCTCCATTTCCACATTCGCATTTGTCTCTATATCGGAGTTTTTCCTCTCCATGTCAGAGAATTTTTTTCTTTGATTGATGATTGTGTCGTGAGGCAGTGACTTATGTATTTATAGTTTTTTGATTACACAACGACCTTTTGTTTAATGTTGCTTGCACGGAACAAGATTTAATGTAGCACTCCAGTCCATACACCGATGCGTGTCGCCGCCGATCATGCCTTATGGAGCGCATCTCGGACAAGGGAGGAAGGAACACCTCCATTTGTTCCAACGAATTGTTTGCTAAAAAATTTTGTATGAGCATTTGGTCTTTTGTTTCCCAAATAATTTAGAAAAAATTTCAATTAACAACACATGCATGGATGGACATTTGAGATTTGAAATCAAGGATTACTTTAAGTTTTTAAAGAAAATTTTCAATATGATAATTGCAATAATCATTAAATTATTTTTAACATCACATCCTATTTCTGAATATTAATAATCACTTGAAAAAATCAATGCAGGCAGGCATAAATTACAAAATTAATGTCTTCATTTGCTCTACTTGAATTCATTTACCTAACATATCGAGATAAGCATGCATCGTTTGTAGCATGAAAGTTGTCCTTTAAAATATCGTGAAGAACTTTCTAATCTCCTCAAATTTACCGTGAGAAAATGCGACCCGTTTCTTTTCTTTTTTTTTTTTCCTACACGTCGGCTGTGTCTCAATAGTCAAGATCAGTGAAATTCTCGATGTCAATAAAAAAATCTAAGGGACATTTGTATTGTCCCAAAGGTGCTTGTTGCACTTCAGACATTCCTCTTCCAACCCTTCCACGGCGGTAACCTCAATTCCGTGTTCTCTTAGTATATCTATTCCCTCGCATTTGACGAACTTGTCGGGCTCCCTAACGCCCAGCACAACTCTTGTCAATCCGCTTTCGATGATCCTTTCAACACACGGCTTTTTACCTGATAACCTTTTACTACATGGCTCCATCGTTGTGTAGATTGTTGAATTAGTCGATTGGGTGGGGTCCTCTAGTTTCTGTAGTGCGCATTCTTCGGCGTGCGTATTCCCCGGGAGTTCCCTGGAGTAACCGGTTGCCAAAATTCTGGAGTCTTTTACTATAACCTTTTCCGAATGTGAAAGTAATTTAGCATGAATTAAATCTCGGGCGGCGGATTGATTACGAAAGAGACTTTACCGCACCAACACAATACGCCGTCGGAATTGGTTCCGAAAGGTTTGCCTGTTCGATTGCAATTCTCATGAATTGCAAGTCCTCTTCATCTTGCGCAAATATAAAAATATATATATGTTAATCCACAGTTAGCCGATGTTGATAAAGTCATAGTGGAATAATAAATATTGAATAATACTTGATGCTGCCATTTGAGCGCAAAAAGGAACTTTCGGTCAATGAGTTGGCTCATGGTGGATGTTGATCAGATGATCATATATTAAAAGGTCGAAAAAAGGAAAAAGATTGACGCATGCGCCCAACGTGGGGGTCGAACCCACAACCTTGAGATTAAGAGTCTCACGCTCTACCGATTGAGCTAGCCGGGCAACTTGTTAATTTACTCTTAAATGAATTCTCCTAAATTGAAAAAATACTAATGCTATGATGCCCATAAACGTAATTAGCAGTCCAAGAAATAAAAATCTAGTCAAAGAGTAAGCCTGACCTTAGTACACGCTACTCTAATTCGAGTAAAAAATTATCAGGATCTTTGTATATAGGGAGGGAAATGATGTTAATAGAGACAAAACCGATAACGTGACCACACACCATGAAAAACATTTGCTTGTCTATTTTTATGCATGTCAATCAATACGTGTTATGTCGCGTTTACACTTTAGCGAGTTAACGGCAAGTCGATTGTACGTATTGGGTTCGCGTAACCGGCGATCAACGGTAGGTAAAAAAACAATACACAAAAATCTTAAACGAGAAAACTAGTATCTGATATAGTTCTATGAAAATATCCACCTAACGTCCTGTACAAAAAGAATCCAATCTCCTGACTATGACGTCATTCTGCTTTCATCCGTTAGTATTTGGATTATTTCGATTTATTACTATACCCATATGTCATATACAGTATGTCATCCATGCTTAATATTCTCACGATTTCATTATGATAATATCTTTCCTTCGCTACTTTTCTGTCACCCTTTGTGACGCGAGCTTTTGCCGTAAATTTCTTGTGGTACGATCGTCTTTCATGTGACCCTGCTCGTGCATCGTAGCTTCCTTCCACAATTTTTTTTTACTAAAAAAATGATATCCCGATAATCTTGCGTAATTGGTGCGCAGAGGAAAAAAAATACTGTAACGATAATAAATTTTTTAATTCTATTATAAAATAAATCATTTCTTACAACTGAGGTATCGGGTTAAATGTACTCCCAAATGCATTATTTACAAATCATCAACGACTCTAATTTTTCAACTACAGTGATTACAGTGAGTAAAATGAAAAAAAAAAAATAAAAAAAAATAAAGGATACGTCGTAGGCATGAAGATTAATGAAATACTCTTATTTGTAAGAAGAAGGATGAAAAAAAACCCCCCCCCCCCAAATTATAAATTTTTAAATTTGACAGAGCCACTCGTTTTTTATCTTTCACAACCAATTTGCCATATAGTATAAACTGCTTAAAATAATGTACAGAGTCTGATTGTCCTTGGTATATGCTATCACTCTATTTGATGCCATTCATTAGTACAAATTATACATTTCACTGCATCTCGCGTTTCTTCGGTTTTTGCCATTTTTCTTCATGAAACTCCCGGAAACTTTGGTGGAATTCTCGGGATTGTACGCTGTATTCAGGTATACCCCATTCACGTAATTATGCTTGTAAAAATCTGGGTCCTTTTGTTCGAAATCTTGAGTTATGGTCGATCGACGACGAGTATATTTGCTAATTTTCCACATTTCGTATTGATACTTGACCTTTGTAAGGAAAGACATCTTATGTAGGAACAAAAATGGTTTAAATAATTCGCAAGTAACAATTTTATTTAATTTGTCAGGTCAATGTCGTAATGCCGAAAAGCGCTTCCTCAGGATGAAAAAAGATGTAATTAATGAATTATTAAGGGTGAGTGAGGTGCGTTAAAAGTTTTTTTTGTTAAAGTTTAAACCGAGAATAAATACTTTTGCCCATCATACAGTGTAACAGGTAACGTGTAACTTACATTGCAGACAAAGATTGTTCAACTTAAGACACGTATTTAAAACTTCCTCCCGAAACTTTAATCCTCGACGACAATTCAAAAATTTACAATGTCGCACGACTATGGGTCCTTGTTGAACAACACTCATTTAAATAAGAAATCCCGCCCACTGAAACCAATAAATTAACCATCTCTTTTTTGCGCAACCTTCACAAGTTCAATGCTAAATTCAAATAATAATAATAATTATTAAACATGAATTTATAAATGAAACCTTACTTGCATTTTTTTTGGTGGTGCAAAAAATACGCACACCGTAACCGAGATTCTTTGACCAATCAAAAATGAATGATTGACGCACAGTTGATTTTAATTTTGTACACTAAGTGCGTGCCTTGAACTTTTTTCTTTGATTGATTCAGCCATTCAACCTTACCAGCCTAACGATCACCGATTTAATTCCATTTATTTGGAATTTGATATTACGACCGTTGTGCTTCATTGCCAAATTTCAGAGCCGCAAAATCGTTGATGCACTGCTCAACTTTTAAATATTTTTGAATTCGCGCACAATGCTTATGCATTTTTTAGTTGGTATCTACAGCGCATGCGGTGAGTATGATAATCGAATGCCTAATAATATTCATATGAATAATAAAAGAAAAAAAATTTTTTTTTTTTAGAACCATATTTGGAATCGACCTATACATGTAGTTTGCGTGCGGAAATTTTAAAATTAGCAATCTCGACCAAACATTCTCTCTGTGAAAAACCTTATCTTTACCGTTAAAATACTAGCAGGAATTTTGGTTCACATTTGAGATTAACTATATTTACGGGTGCATCGATTTAGGGGTCCAAAAGAAAAAAAGAAACAAAAAAAAAAAAAAGCGATAAAATGAAAAACGTGATAATGCGTTAAAAAGAATACTATTATTATTATTTTTTTTTTTTGATTAATAAAAAAATTATTAATTTCTAATATATATATATATATATTAATTTATAATTATATTATAATAGCATGTCTTTATTTAAAAATTAATTAGAGATCTTATATAATTACAGACTTTTCACAATACAGCTAACTCATCTTTATACAAAAGTACTCTAAGTTCGATTTAAGGGATAATATTATACTTCCCTAGTTAAATTGAATTTACCTCTATCTACTAGGATTATTACCAATAGTTTGTTACTATTAATTGATCCAAAAATCATAAATTGTTAAGGTTAAAGAAAAAAAAGTAATAACAAAATAGAAAAGGAATAACAAAATAGAAAAAGATAACAATTCAAGACATATTAAAAAAATCCAACAATAAAAACAAACTCTTTTCAAAAAGGATTTACCTAATGATAATAATCTTCTTGCTTTACTTGAATCTTAAATGAAATCTTCTTTGTCATTACCTGTGATATTAAATAAATCAATTTAATTGATTCTTTATTTAAATAAGTATCAAATTAAAATATCAAAAAAAGTATCTAAACCTTAGCTTTTGTCTATTAAAGCTTTATCACTACCTAATAAACTTAAGTAAGAAATAAAAATTTGTAATTCATATTACTAATTTCTCTCTTAATCTTTTAGTATTATAAATATTTTTATCAAAATACTTAAGCTTTTGAAAGTAAATATCTCTAAAATATTCTTTTTAATTATCAATTATATTATAAAAACACATAAATATAATTAATAAAAGCTTGATTACATTTTAAAAACTAATATATTTTATATTAATTACTAATATTTAATAAAAATATATTTTATTCAAAATTCAAGGTCAAACTAGAATAAGTAAATTCTTTAAAAAACTATAAAAATAAAAACTTTAAAAAAATCTAAACAAATAAAAGTAAAAAAAAAAATAAATCTTTTTATTATAGAAAAACTTTTATAAATCTCTTGCTTTAAAGATTAAAATGACTTTTAGATATTTATAATTAATTCTTCTTTCTTTAAAAATTTTCTTATCATTAATATTAAAGATATTACTTGATTTTTTTTGACTATTGAAAATCAAGTTTTTGAATAAAGAAATTTATAAACAATAAAAAAAGAATAAAAATAACTTTTAAAATTATATCTTAAATTATTTAAAAAAAAAATATTAAGACTTTATTAGTAAAGAAGCATAAAAACTTCAAACGTTTTTTTTTATATACTGTATAATTAAAGAATTAATAAAAAAAAATTTTTTTTTATTAATTCATAATAAATTAATTTTAATTTTTTTTATTTATTTATTTATATATTTAATATTATTATAAAAAATATTATTTATTATTATTATAATATTTATAATAATAAACTATAGGTTATTTTTTTAATATTAATTTATTTTTATACTATAATAAGTTATTTTATTATAATAAAAATTATATTTAAGAACAATTGAAATAGATAATTATTCTTATTGCCTAAAAATTTATAAATAAATAAATAGTATAAAAAATAAATTATTTATTTATTTATTTAATTAAAATAAAATAATTATCTAATTATCTAATATAAATACTCTTTTTATTATAATAAAGTTTAAGATAACTAAAAATAAGTCTCTTATATTATAACATTTTCTAGAACCTTGATTTAAAACATCTTATTATTATTTCAAAAAAAAAAAAAAACCAATATATTAAAATTTATTTAAAATATCTAATATCACTGATATTTAAAAAAATTTTTTACATAAAGTTTTAATTTCATTAGTACTAAAAATTTAAAAAGAAAATATATAATTAATTAAAAAATATATTTTAATGAGAAAATAAAAATATCAAAATCTTTCAAAAAAATATTATTTGAATAAAAGAAATTATATTTATTAAATAGATAAAGAAAAAATAAAATTTCTATTTTTTTTTTTAATATTCCTATTTCAATTTTATTCTTTTTAAGTATCTGATAATATAATAAATATTATAGACTCACCCATCTACAAAGTTTAACCTTCTCTAAATGCAACTTAGAGGATGATATTTCACTCCCTTTGTGGCTTGGATTATTCTTTATCCACCCAAATCATTGCCTATAACTCATCACTGTAGAATAGA